AGAGGGCGAACGAAGACAAGGGGGGGGGAGTGCTTTGGGGAGGGAGCCATGCCACTGACCTGAGGGTTCCATCTTGCAGGAGCATTCAGTCGATGAGAACTACTCCACCACACCTCAATCTTGGCCCACCACAGCTCACGGCGGCAGCTGGGCAACCTTAGGTGAGAGGGAGACAGGGATAGTGTGTGTGCGTGTGTGTGTCTTGTCATGTTCGCTATACAACTCCATTAAAATAGCATGACTGTGGCAGACTGTTTCATCGCGCTTTCACCCGACTCGTCAGGAGGTTGAACCCCTACAGTCTGCCCAGAGTGAAAGAGAGAAGCAGCGAGCGAGAGAGAGAGAGTTCGGCGCTGCACAGCAAGGTCCACAACAGCAAGCAGGGCATACACAACATGGCCCGAGGCAGTACCCACCACGTACTACGGCAAACAACATGGAGGCGTCAGCGCAAAGCTCAACAAAATATGGCGCCATGCGGTTGGAGCCGACAAAGACAAAGTGAGGTACCCAAAGTTGCCTGCGAACTGGGCCGTCGGGCCGTTCGCCCCGAGGTACTGGGCCAAGGGCCTGGATCTACGCGCACGTCACTTGACTCCGGTAATACTCCACAACACTCCGCGTAATACTCCACGACACTCCACGACGCGTCTATCTGCGAAAGGCACTCCGCGGCGTGTTCATCTGAGTCGTCGGTACGGACAGACGGCCTGGATCTCGGCGCGGTCCTAAGATCTTAAGACTGCATCTATCCAGGCCGTCGGTCTGGTAGGACCCGACGGCCCAGATGGCAGATTTGTTACACGGTTAGGTCGATCTGGGCCGTGGGCCGGTAGGACTGACGACGGCCCAGATTTCAGATTTGTCACGTTAGCGATTTTAATAGTGTAGGGATGCCATTCTAGTGTTCAGTAGGACCCTCCAGGAGCATGAGGGTCATCTAAGGCAGGTCTTGAAGAAGCTCAGAGAGGACAACTTCAAGATCACGCGAAGAAGTGCGAATGGGCAAAGACCCAAGTTCTGTACTTAGGCCATGTCTTAGACGGAGACGACATCAAACCAGAAGATAGTAAAATTGCAGCGATCAGAGATTGGCCTACACCCCGCACGTTGACAGAGTTACGGTCGTTCTTAGGCCTAGCTAATTATTACAGTAAGTTTGTGGGGAACTTCTCCACCATCGCTGCTCCCCTTCGCAGGTTGCTGAAGAAAGAACAATCAGGAAGTGGGATAAGGACTGCACGTCTGCCATGAAGGAGGTGAAGCAGGCGTTGATAGAGTACCCAGTCCTTAAGGTAGCCGATCCGTCCTTACCTTTTGTTGTCACCACTCGAGCGAGCCAGTATGGTATAGGTGTTGTATTACATCAAGACGATGGGAATGGATATAGACCCGTAGACCTTATGTCTGCTAGGATGCCTTCAGAGAAGGTAGCGACATCTACCTACGAGAGGGAACTCTACGCTCTTAGGCAAGCATTAGAGCACTGGAAGCACTACTTGCTTGGGAGGCACTTCAAAGTCTACTCAGACCACGAGACATTAAGGTGGTTGAAGACGCAGGCCAAGATGACACCTAAGCTTACTAGGTGGGCCGCAGAGATAGACCAATATGATTTTGAGCTCAAGCCAGTCAAAGGGAAGTATAATGTAGTTGCCCATGCTCCGAGTAGGAGAGTTGACTACTTTGGAGCGATAGTTCATTCTCTGGATATGGGAAGAGACCTGCAACATAAAGTTAGAGCGGTGTATGCGCAGGACCCTATCTATAATGACCTCCTCAAGAGAGTAAAGGAGACCCCAGAGTCTGAACCAGACTACCGCACTATTGATGGGCTCCTATTCGAGAAGACTAACGTAGTTGACCGATTGTGCCTTCCTAACAGTGAAGAGATCCGTAGTTTGATCCTAGGGATTCCCACAATACTGAGGGACATTTTGGTTGGCAAAAGACCCTAGCTAACCTATTGCGCGCGTACATATGGCCTGGGATGAAGGCTGCATAGAGTATGTTCGCAGTTGTAAGGTCTGCCAGAGAAATAAGACCTCTACGCGTGCCCCTCTAGGTCTTCTCAGGCCCTTGCCTATTCCTGATCAGCCGGGAGATTCGGTGTCCATTGACTTTATAGACACCCATGTCAAGAGTAGGCACGACAAGAGCCAAGTCATGGTAATAGTCGATAGATTCAGTAAATATGTTATTTTTGTTCCTTTGCCCTCAGAGGCACGTACAAAGTTAGTTATCCAGAAGTTCTTTGATCATTGGGTTAGTGAACACGGGATTCCACTGTCTATAGTTAGTGATAGAGACACCCGGTTCACTAGTCAGAACTGGCAGGAGTTGATGAGAATCTATGGCTCCAAGTTGTTGATATCATCTGGCCGTCATCCAGAGACCAACGGTCAGACGGAGCAGATGAACAAGATCCTGCAACAAGTTCTGCGTACGTACATTAGACCGGATCAGATCAATTGGGATGAGATGTTGCCCAAAGTAGCCAATAACAGCGTGCACTTATCTACCTGTCGCACTCCCAACGAGTTGCACAAAGTCCTTTAGACCACGCAGACCGTTTGAGGGACTTAACTGGGATCAGATTCACAGGCTAC